AGGCGCCGGGCTGTGTGCGGAGCGGGGCTCCCGCCAGGGTCAGGCCCTTCGGCTGCAGGGACCCTGAGGAGGACTTTTTTTTTTTTTTTCTTTTTTTCCCTCTCCTTCTCTCCCTCTCCGCAGAGGGAAAATCTTGGTTAGTATCCAGAGAGTTTCCTTAAGCGCCCCGCACTTGTGCGGCGCTTCCCAGGTAGCGTTCGGTTGCCGGCGGTTTTAAAAGCCTGAGGACTGGTTTTGGGGTGTTGCGGTTTCACAGAGTCCGTTGAAAACGACTCGGTTTTTTGAAGAGCTGCCTAACTCCAAGGTGCCAGCGGAGATAATTTGAAAATCAGACTACTCATAATCTCTGGCCACCTCTGACAGTGCTGGGATAGTAACTCTTCTTCAGTGCTGGATTAAGTGACTGTTTTTTAAAAGCTTGTCACTTGACTGATGTTTCTGGTAAGATTCAAAGAATCTGAAGTTTCTTCTTGCAAATGCTGGAAATTGGTGTTTCTCAAAGTTGCTGTAAGATCTCTGTGCTTTGGGCAACCTGTGCTCCTGTTAGATTAATGCTTAAACTTATACTGTGGGAAGAAGCTGAAGTATGTCTTGAGGAAAAAGCCTGTCCTTGTAGGAACTGGTGTTCTCTCAGTGCTGCTTTGCAGTGTTTATACTCTCTTTGTTTTTATTCTAGCTATTTTAAAAAGTATATTTTTACAGCGTGTGTGTGGTGGGGCTGTGGCTGTTAGTATAAAACCATCAGCGTGTGCGCAGTTTCAAGGCTTTTCAGAGAATCGCTCAAACTCGGTGCGATGCGAGGTGAGCTCCCGTCTGCGAGGGAATGAGGAAGCATAATACAGAAAGACTGTTTCTGAACGCTTGGACCTTGCATTAGCGTGGGGCTGTGTTCACAGGTGCAAGGCATGCACCCAAAATGTTTGCTGCAAGTACTTTGAAGGGGACTTTATTTCTCAGCACGGCTCAAACTGTGTAGCTGCCTGGCAGCGTCTGCCTCAAATATCTCAGCTCCAGGAGTAGGGGACTGCCTCCCTGCTTGTGCACGGAGCAGGCGGGAAGGCGATCTGCGCCAAAGGTGGCGGAGCAAGCCTGGGGGGAGCTGGCAGTTTTGGAGAGGATACTGTGGCTGAAAAGCTTTACTGAGGCCAGACCTGAGGCGGGAGGTGAATCTGGGAATGAAGCTGTCTGACGGTAAGTCAGTCAGTCAAGTTCTTGCGTTGTAAATAGAAATGCAGCTGAGAGGAGATCGGGGGAGAGGCTGAGGTTTTTGATTTTGGGCTCCGTAAGACAGCTGAATGTAACGCGTGCACGACAAACGTGAGGAGCAAAGACTTCTGTCAGTTCACTGAGGTGTAGACAGCGCTCGTCTGCATTTGGTGAGTCCGTGGCTAAGTGTGGGTTGCGATCAGTGATACCGAGGGTGGCTTTTGAAGAGGATATGAGGGCTTGTATGGTTCTGAACTTGTTTCTTTGTGCACAGGAGACCTTGTGCAGCGGGAGGACTGGGGGCACGCTCCGATCTCCCAGCGGTACGCCTGCGTTGCTAGGCAGCAGCTTGCACCTAGAGCTTACTCCAGATCCAAGTAAGCAAAGAGGGACCTCTGTCTACGCAAACTAAATCTTTTCTAGCTGGTCACCAAAGACATGAGAAAACACATTTTGTTTCGGAGTAGTAAGCTGTACGTGCGTGTTTACCTGCAGGCGTTTGTGGCCTTCTGGATACCGAAAAGGGCTAGTCAGTTGGGAAAGCACAGAGTTGTTAGCTGGCTGAAAACAAGGCTTCCTTATGCTCATCCCCTCTGCTTGGGTGCCTGGGCTGCAAGTGGGCAGAGTAGAGAGGGATGAACCTTTGCTGTTGTCTTTTTGTGTGTAAGGTTCAGGAGTTCTCTGCAGTCCTCCCTCTAAACTTTCACTGTGTCTGGAAGCTCAGAGGAGGTTTGTTTTAAAAAACAAATTGTTTAGTGATTGATGCTTTCGCAGTGAAACAGGAAAACAAAACAAAAAAAAAGATTGATTTGCACAAGATGTAGGAAAAAAGACCCGAGTGTGCCACGTCAATGCCTGTGCCCAAAATTGTGCATTTTAGAGGATGCCACACAATTGCTGGAGCCTTTGTGCATATGTGGCATCAGCCAGCTTTGTCACAACTGCTTCGTATCTCGCAGAGCAGGAGCGATGGAAAGCCTTTTAATCTCCAGGGCTGCTAGTCTACTGGAAGTACTTTGAAGCAGTAGTAGTAGCAGTAGCTGTTGGAAAACCTGTGTGGGGAGGTGGGGTGGGGGGCCTTGCTGTTCTCTAACCAGAACAAAAGTCCTCGAAGAGCCTGAGAGGGTCAGGAGGGATTCGGAGACTGACAGAGGGACGGTGAGCTCAGCAGAGGGGCTGTTCTTGTAGTACATGTTACTTGTGATTGTGGGGCCATCTGAAGTCAAAGTGGAAGAGGGAGGAAGAGGTTTCGTGATTTGATAGAGGCTGCAGGCCTGGGCCTCAGAAGAAGCTGGATTTTTGCAAACTTAACTTCAGAGGAAGCTGCAGGGGAGAGAGGAAGTGGAGGCAGGTAGGAGCATGCTGTGCCTGGCCTGAACTCTTGTTTGTGCTAAGGAGTTACCACATTAGCTGTCCGCATTGCTGATCACAAGGTCTCAAGGCACGTTTCAGTCTCTGAGGGTTTAAGCTTGTGTCTGTCTGGTGGTGTAGGGCAACTGATGGCTTCGGCTCCCTGTGGAAGTGGTGGGCAGCCTGTGTGTGGAGGCAGGCAGAGATGCAGGTAAGCAGCTGGAGAGAAGGGGGAGGAAACGGGGACAGCATGCAGGGCCCATACATACCCCTTTGGGATGCTGTGCCAGCATGGAAATGAGACTAGCGTCCAAGTGAATCTCTCTAGCCGGGATGGGTCTGTAAGGGGTTGGTTCATTTGCGGAGGCAGAATAATTTGTTCCCTGCCTGCGCAAAGCTGTTTCTTAGGGGTAAAAGGGTGCGTGTTATAATTCTCCAGTTAAAGCTATAGAGAACAGTGCCTTCTGTATGGTACTTGAAAGAGAGAGGCTGTTGTCTGGTCAAAATTTTGTATATCCAGGATTGAGGTGTCCTTTTGGGACTGGAGGAGGAGGAGTTACAGGGAGAGTCTCTGCACAGTAGCCAGTTAGTGCTGCTGGCTGGAGGCTTACTGTCGCGGGAAGCTGCTGTGGATGGCAGTGGCTGGGGCTCCCGGCTGGTGGAATTGGCCTCTGTGTTTGAGGGAGAGGGCTCAGCATTTGTACTTATAATAAGCAGTACAAATAAAGCATTTGTAATGTATAGGCTTTTCCTGCTCTTGTATACATTTGGTCTCTGAGTAATTTCTCACTTCAAACTGAGGCTGAAGCTGAGAATATTAAGGGATGTTAAATCAGGAGCAACTATTAAACAGCCTTTAAGAGTTGTATGGGAAACGATATGCTATCGTGTCTAAGCCTTCCTCAGACAGTGTGATCCTGAGCTATTTATCAGGAAGTCTTTAGTGCTGGAAGAGGAAGTAAGCATTTAAACCATCACAAAGTAAAGAGGCACTTTAAGAGGCCATTTGCTTTTCAGGATGCCCAGTTAAAAATAAATCTTCCTTTAAAGAGCCTTGAGAAGAAAACAGAGGGAAAAGATCTTGTCCTTGCTGAAAATGGTGAAAATTTTACTGCTAGCTTTGGTCAGGGTTTCTCTCAGTGTCTTTCTAAGCACCTGGAGCTTGACCTAAGTGAGTGCCCCATTGGAACTGACAGGGGACTGAGGGTTGCGCTGTGTTCAGTGATAAAGCCAGTAGGAGGGACGCTGTATACTCGAAGCTTCTGCAGGGTCGTTCAGCTAATCCTTTCCTTTCCATCCTCCTTTCACCCCAAAAGCAGTGCTGGAAGAAGGTTCCCTCCATCCCTTTCCCACTGCTCTATGTAACAGTGAGATTAACAGGGATGCCTATTTGAGAGAGCAATTCCAGGGTGCATAAAATACATATTTTAACTTGATTTTTGGCCTAATTCAATACAAAACTACAGTGCTTACAAGATTTTCACAAAATACCAAAAGTAACATTGTTCTAGAAGCAGTTTCTCATGATTCTAAAATTCTGGGGTTTTGGTTACTTGTTTAGTCATATTCTTACTTCTACCCAGACAGACGTGGCAAAACACTTAACCAGAGGCTAGCCTTTACCTATAGATAAGACAAAACCCTCACTGAGGATATTTCTATTCCTCTAATGTACCATGAGATGATGCTGAAGGCAGTAAAAGCAACTTGCCTTTTGCTGATGGCAGAGCAAAGTGCCCTATTTCTCTTCTCTGGAATTAGCAAAAGTGTTTTCTAAGAAGCGTAACAGCTGGTATGTCATCTTTTTCTGCTAATTCTGTCTACTTTGAGCATTATGTATTAGTTAGGGAACCATGTGGCCCTGAATGAGATCAAGGAATAAAATTCTAAGCGCATTGCAAGCAGAGTTGTGTTCTCCTGGCGCTTGTTTCATTAACGTGCAGGAGTGAATGTGGGTCAGGTTTGCCGTGAATAGTGCAAATGTTATTGTGTAAATATCACAGAGGCATCAATGTATATACAAGCAGCAATAAACTTGGCACGGCTGACATTTGTAATAACTGCAGTCCATCTTCTGAGTGGTCCCAGAAAGAGTACTTTTTTAAGAGTCTGTGAAAGCAGTTTCTCTATAAAACCAGGGAATGTTTCGGCATGCAGGTGGCAGCTGAGTCTAAAACCTAGTTCTGTAGTGCGCTGTGCACCTCTGTCACAAGCCTTGTGAAATGCAAAGGGAACTGAGAGAAGTGATGCTGGGGGAAAGAGGAGGAGTATGGCATTTTTCAGGACTGGTACCTCCATTTGAACCATTGCTCTTCATTCTTAATAGCTTTTCTACAACACCTGCTTGGGGAACACAGTTGGTATGAGTATGAAAGAAGCAAAGCATGTAGTCTTCTGGCCTGATAATGCTCTTGCATACGCAGCTGTGATTGGGAAGCCTTTCTTGTTGATGTAAAAGTGGTGGATTTTGAAGTTGGTGTGTGTGAGAATGGACTTTTCTCATCTCTTTTAGTCTGAAATGCCTTCTCCTTTTATGTTTGAAACTTTGTAGAGCAGACTTGTGATCATAGGTAAGATCATCCAAAGCGCTTAGCAGGATGAGGCCATTGACCTGAGCAGTGGTGTCTGCTCTAGGCATAAATGACTGAAGAGCCAGAGTCGGGCTAAGCTGTGGGTTTTTAAGCATGCTGGGTTACACCAACTCTGAAGCCTAGGAGTTCTCATTGGCACTTGGTTTTCCCTGGAGAACTTAAAACCAGGGTTCAGAGTCCTTTTGCCTGAGCAGAGCTCCTCCACAGCCCGGGGCAGACTATCAGGATAAGTTGGGTCTGGAGAGAGTCGCCTCTGAGTTTCTCTGTGCCCTTGAGAGGTCTGCTCTCCGAGGATGTTGCCCCGTGGGTTTCTCGGCATTGGAGAGGTACATGGTCATCCGTAGCAGTGGACTATGGCTCCTCTTT